ATGCCACGCCAAGGGGCAGGTGCCGCTGCCATGGCCTTCAGGCACATCACGTGCAGAACCGTGAAAAGAGCACGGACTTGGTTACCACTCAGATGTGAGTCCAAATCTTGCTGCTCCTAGTGAGTATCTGGTTGATACCTCCAATAAAGAGCCAGGACCGTCTGCAAATACGTGCTGAGTGCCAGCTATGCCTAAGGCATGTGCTCCTCAGGGGGGGCACATATGACCGCACAAGGTGGACCTACTCCTGCCCTCACAGGCTTTCCATCAACTGGGCATTTAAACGAATGTCGTGATGTGAGTGTGTGGCCTCTCTGGGCCTCAGGCTCTTTGTTTTTATTTTATTTATTTATTTTTAAAAAGTTTCTGCCATAGGGTACATGTGCTTGCCAGAGAGACAGAGAAAGACAGAGGGAAAGTGAGAAATCAGCCCCAGGGGAATGACCGCACCTCAGTGCCTTCTTTTTGGGGCAGGATTTTGGGCAGGCATATACACATGCCCCATATGATTGTAGAACTACCGAGTGCGGGACTCGAACCACGGTTGACCACATGGGAGTCCAGCACCTCAACTGTCATGCCACCTGCTGGTCCCTCAGGCTCTTTATCTTAAACATAGAAAAAAATATTAGGATGTCAGAAAAGTCTTGATGTTTTTTTGCATAGGAAAACGTAGAAAAATATGTCAAGGCTTTTCCTACAACCCAATATGCTCCAGAGAACTGGCATGTAGAGGCGTCGCTCATATTTCAGTGGCAGTATCTCCTCTGAGAATACGTGGCAAGTCTAAGGTCCCTGCCTGGACGGAGATGACTCCTTGCTTACACAGCTCCCAACTTTACTCACACTTTAAGTTCAGTGTGACTTCTGTGCACCCCTCCCTGTTCTCTCTCCCTTGTTTCTAACGTTTAACTATCAAAAATACCCATGAGTTCCTAGTAAGTTGTAACAAGTCTGTGAGAACGGAAAGTGCTTGGTGAGGGGGCCCTTGGTCCAGCCTTCCCAGAAACCCTGCCTCTGGAAGGAATGCTGCAAAGTCAGTGTCCCGTAGTATAGTGGTAGAGCCCTAGCTCTCTATGGCCTCGTGGAAGGAACATATGAACCACTCTCAATAGAACTTTTCTGTCCTTCCCCCTTTTCCTTTCCCCAGGAATGCATGTTTCTGTGTGCTCTTTGTTCATTCTGTGGAATAAAGAGCCTGCTACATATCAACAACATGAGAAGACTGGGCAGGGTTAGGAGCCCTCCTCTCCGTGCACAGCAGCCACCCAGACACCAGGCCTTAGTTTTCTGTACTCCCAGGAGTACATGGGCCATGGCTTGAGTTCTTACCGTAATCAGTGTTTTCAGGTTCCCAGCAGTTTGAAGGCCAGAAATAAGGAGCCTGCAAAAGAGCAGAGAGGGTCAGGACTCAGAGGCAGCCCAACACTCACTCACCCCTGCACCCAGTGAGGACCCTCCCTTGTGACAGGCTGTCCCCACCTCCTCACAGACACCATGCCCGACTCACACCTGTTCTTTAATGCAGGTGAGACCAGTCAACATTTTAACTTGGGTGTTGAGAATGAAATTGAAGGTAAGCAAGATAAATGCAATAATGAGAAACTGAGCTAATAGGACAAAAGTCTCTTATTCCAAGATGACAGAAGTCTGACAGCAGAAGTGAGGCTGGCACAGTTTACAGGCACGCAAGCCCAAGTGTACCCTTTTGTCTGCTGTTTTCCTTCAAACCTCTCTAAGAACTCTGCTCTCAATCCTTTGCTTTAGACTTGACATATCCCCTTATCCTCTCTCTAGTTCCTTCTGAGGCAGGATCTGGAGGAGTGTGAAATAAAAGGGTGACTGGGAAGCACGCACAAGGAAGCCAGCACGTAATAAGGGGAAGACTGTGCTGTCAGGCTCACCAAGTTCAGATCAAGACTATCTCCTAGGTTTACCAGATGCCATGTAAATTCTCTGAGCACCTCAGTTTTGTCATCTGTAAAAGGAGTGATGCTTGCCTTCTAAAAGCTTATTCTTCCAGAGTAAATAAAGAAATATGTGCAAAGTGTCTGCTCTGGTCTGAATGCCCCCCCACCCCCATCTATTTGCATGTTATAGTCTAGGTCCCCAAAAAGTTATCAGGAGGTGGGGTCTTTGGGAGGGAGAGTTTAAGTCATGAGAGTGGAGATCTTTGAAGGAGATTAGTGCTCCTGCTAAAGAGACTGAGCTCCCTTGCCCATTCCACCATGAGAGAACACAGCTAGAAGGCACCATCCGGCAACCAGAAAGAGTCCTCCTCAGACACCAAATCTGTCAGCACCTTGACCTTGGATTTCCCAGCCTCCAGACTGTTAGACATTGCTGCTGCTTTTAAGCTACCGTCTGTGGTATTCTGTTACAGCAGCCAGAAAGGACTCAACAAGGGCCTTTTACTATTAAGTGGGTCAATCAGTGGTCTACACAGAGGTTCTCTTGGTTTCCCAGTGTGGTGAGGGAAGACAGTTGCTCCCTCAAATACCTTTAGGTTTTTTGTTTGTTTGTTTGTTTGTTTGTTTGGCAGTTTTAATCTGAGAGCAGAAAATGATGAGAGGAAAAGGCTCTTCAGAGAAAAAGGCTCTTCAAGAGAAGGAGCCAGTGGCCTACCTGGAAACGATAAAAGGTGCCATCGTCTTTCATGGTGAGTACGTGGTCCGAGATGGGAAAGATGTAGCCCTGGGCAGCTATAAGGCTTCCCAAGTGTATTGCTTCAACTGCAGATCAGGACACAGGAGAGAGAAGGGTTAGCAATTAGCTTTCTTAGCTGAAATGTAAGATGGAAGACCAGAAGTTGAGTGTCACCAGTGCCAGCAGACTCTATTGGTGATAAAATTGCACTCATTTGGGGTGAGAGCAGGGAGGAGATGCCAATGGTTGGGAAGGGCCACCCTACATGATACTCCTCTAGATTCCAGCTCAAGAGTCTTTCTTCTGGACCCTCCCCCAAGACCTTCCAGAAGAAAGCCTAGCTTCCTGGTCAAGAGCATGAGCTTTCGCATAGGTAAACCTACATTTCACTAAGTGAGGCAGTTCACGTAAAGTGTTCAGCAGTGACTGGTGCGGGCACTCTGTTAAGTGTGGGCATCACTGATACATATTTCTAGTTCCATTAGGTCAGATCTTCCCCAGTAATGGGCTGCAGCTTCTGCCCATAGAGATTCTAGACTCAGATTGCATTCCCAGTACTGATAGGACAGTCCCATCAGTAATGAAGAGGGTATTACCCTCCTCTTATGGACATAGAATAAAACCTAACTTTCTTAGAAAATTAGAGGAAGGACAACAGGGTGGGTAGTGGCATGGAGAGGCCAACGTGACAGAAATTTTTTTTTTTTTTTGCCATGATCAGGCTGCTGCTGGGTTACTTTAGTACCAGACATAATTAGATACACAATGATAGTTAAGAATTTGCATTTATCCCGCACAGAATGAAGAAAAAATAACCATATATAATCATTTTAAAGAGAGCTGAAAGTCATTTTACTAGCGAAAAACTAACTTTTAGATGGAAATTACTGGCATGCTTTGGGAGATTCTAGCAATTATTTATTTGAAAAACTTTGAATTTTTTTTTTTTTAGAGGTTTTTGTCGTAGGGTGTGTGCACTCACGAGAGAGAGACAGAGACAGCGAGAGGGAAAGTGAGAAATCACCTCGCTAGGGGGGTTGGCCATGCCACAATCCCTTCTCCTCCATTCTCCTCCTGGGATCTTGGGCACGCATGCACACATGCTTGGCGTGAGTTTCAAGTCACCAGGTTCGGGACTTGAACCATGGTCGGCCTTGTGGGAGTCCACCAACATAAGTGCTATGCCATCTGCTGGCCCCGTCTTTGAATTTTTTAAAGCAACATGTTTTAGTTTTACTTGTCAACTTTTTAAGAGGTAGACTACAATCCAGTGTTTTGTTTATCAAGAACTATCTATTCTCTTTTGGTGAAATGTATACTTGTAGGTGGTGGAGTTGAAATGAATGGAGCTTTATTTTACTTGCTTGGTGATGATGGTTTTTTAAAGTCTGTATTCTTCAAGAATCATGGATCCAGTAAGGACATTTCATCATCTGCAGCTGCTCCTTCCCCAGGGAAGGAGGAACAAAATCCAGTAAGAAGGTGACTTTCAGGAGCAAAAGCTTCACTTCATTCTTTGAGTAAAAATAATTTTGCTTAAAAGTTTGGCAGAGGGGAAGAAAGACAGGTGGGATGGACATTGCCTCATCTTTGCCCTTTTATTCTCAGCTCGTGATTTTTCAGCTTCTCCTACTTTGCCACTTGTCAGAAGCCCAAAGAGGGGCCATCACCTTGGTGTCCTCCCCAGGGCATCGCAACATAACAGACCTACATAATATAGGATCCTCCTCATTCAGGATCTTTCACAGAAGATTCTGGTAGTGGGGCTGGGATTCCTGAAGCCCATTTTCACCTACTACTAGCTGGTTTAGGTTTCTCAGAGTAATATATGAATGCATGAATGTCAGAAATACAGTGATCATTTTAGAAGGTCAAAGAACCCAGTGTTCTTAGAAGAAAAAGTCCATCATAAGGAAAGGTGTTCCTTAATATAGCATTTTAACTAAAAGAAATGTTGACATTAAAGCATTAAAACTAGGGACCAGCAGATGGCGTAATGGTTACATTGTTGGACTCTCATGTAGTTGACTGCAGTTCGAGTCCTGGACCTGGCTTAAAACTCATGCCAGGTGAGTGTGTGGGTGCTCAAGATTCTGAGAGGAGAATGGACGAGAAGGGATTGCAGTGTGGCCATCCCCCTGGAGGGGGGGGGTTAATTTCTTACTTTCTGTCTCTCTGGTGAGAATGTACCCTAGAGCAAAAATCTTTCTTAAGAAAAAAAAAAAAAAAGAAATGTAACTAAACTGCTAGATGCTTATCTAGTCCAGATTTACAAGAAGACAATAAGAAGTCTAGGCTGCCTAAGGGAAACACATAAGAGAGCTGATTAGAGCTTTATCCCATCAAAGGGCTAGCATTTATAGTGTTTTCCTTTGAATTCAGAATTGACCAGGATAAAGAATTTTCACTAGTTGGCTACCAATGAAGGTGGTGAAAAGGCTAGGGTCCTACATGAATGACCTGTTTTCCTGGCACTCAGATTCCTGGCAATTATATTTAATTGAACTGTATGTAAATTATATTATTTTATAGTCTCTAGTAGATTAGGCATGTCAGCTTAACACACAGAGATGCCTGCACTGACTACTGATCCCAGCAAGGAATCACAGCTGAAGGTCAGACACCTAAACTGGGCTCCTGAAAAAAAATCTTAAGAAGGCATAGTCATTGAGGGCCACTTAATTTGGGGCAAATGGGCCTGATCACTCCAATGTCCATCAAGAACATTGGAGTACACTAGTGGGTCTTTATAAATGTGACCTTCAGGCAACACGAATACTCAGTTAAGCAAGACAAAAGACGGTACAATAAATTCAGAAAAGTATTAATGAACAGCATATGGACAATAAGCTTTACTTGTCTAAAATTTTCATTTTCTGGACTCCTACCCTCACACACTTCCTAATTATTCTGTGAAAAGAAATTTTACTGCTTATTTTCTGGTGGGAGGATAGATTTGGAAACTGTTTTATTGGCCAGGATTTTGTTGTTGTTTTTCTGGTAAGGTTTCCTAATTGAAATGCACAATTAAAGTTGAAAAAAAAATCATTCCTTCCCTTCTTGCAGAAGCAGAAAGCAGAAGGAGTCTTAGCAAATAATTAAACATCTTAATTGTGGATCAGGCAATCTAATTTGAAGAGCTGCTCTAGAAGGCTGTTTGGTGGCAGTGCTACAACTTATCTTTAATTGCTGTGGCTAACCATCGTCTCCTTTCACATACTATTGTGTTGGGCTCTTTGGCGTTCTAAATAGTTGCTCATTTCCTCAAAGGGTGATTTAAATTTAAAGATAGATAACCATTGGAGAAAATAAATGAATTTTATTTGTAAATAGAGTTATTCCACATTTTGGAATTCACATTTATAAGCCCAGTGTTTTAGGAAGGTAGAAAATGCCAATTTGGAACTTGGTTATGGGATGTTTCTGATACCAGAGGATTTAAAGGCAGGGTCAAAGGTGAAGTACCTGGGTCCTCAATGGAAAGGTTCTTCATAAGCCACTGCACAATGTCAGTACCTGCAATGATAGAGTAATTTCAATGAAGACCTCATGGATATTTAACCCTATGGCAGAAGCATCTTTACCTAGCAGAATCCTAATTCCACTCAGCCTACACCTGGGAAGCTGGGGCATACTGATGCATTTCTATTCTAGCTACCCCTTTCTAGTCATTGCTATATTGTGTTGTTGGGAAAGTCATGAAGTGTTTTGCATAGAAAAATATGACATGACTTTCCCCATGACCTAATACTTCCATAGTTATAATTCCATTATACCTCCACCCCCCAAAGAAAATCACTTCTGATGATTCCGGAGGATTTTCTATCTACATGTCTAGGGAACATCCATAGAGAACTTCTCTGAGACAGGTTAGATGAAGTTTTATCATGTGTGGTCCCCAGACCACTTCCTGAAGAAGGAGGCCTCTTCAGCTCCCAACCCTTCCTGACCAGGGGCTGTCCAACACAGATGACTTCACAGATTCTTACGAAACTCTCTTCTGGCCTGGGCCTATCCCAAATGAATGTGTCCCTGTGTCTGCTGCAGACACCTCTATATGTTCACTAAAACCCATTTCTGGGCAGCCAGTGGCATAGTGGTTGAGGTGGCTGGATCCCATATGGCAGACCATGCAGTTATAATTCCCGACTTGGTAGCTTGAAAAACATCCTAGATTCATGTGCACATGTGCCCAAAATACAAAGAGAAGAATGGAGGAGAAGGAATTGCAGTGTGGCCATCATCCCTGGGGGGTGCTTTCTCACTTACCCTGTCTCTTTCTTTCTGGTAAGTGCATGTGTCCTATGGCAAATTTGAAACAAACAAAACTGTTTCCTCTAATCCCTGGGCCAGAGTTAGATTACACTCCCATACTCCCCTGCAGTTGTGTGTAGACTCAGTTCTGCCAAGACTATGAAGGTAGAACTGATACACGCCACTTCTGGACCTAGACGTGGCCCTCCATTTCTCCACACCCTTCCATTCCCATCGCTGGCTGGATGTAGAGCGTTCCAAGGACCAGGGAGAAGGCAGAGTCACAATAAGGAAGGAGCCATGTTCCATAAAAATTAATGTCCATTTGGGGCTCTGTCTCTATTATTGATTGATGGATAAATAGTTTTAATTCCAGAGGGCGTGTGTACTTGTGTGAGAGAGAAAGTAGCCCCCAGTGCTTGTGTATTTGTGCCACAATCCTTTTCCCTTCATTCCTCCTTCCTGTCAGGGCTCAGGGTACCTATGCACACGGGCCTGCTGTGCTTTTCAAGTTGTTGGAGCCAAGATTCAAACCACAGTTGGCCACGTGAGATCCACCTCCTGTAACCACTGAATTATGGCATCTGCCGAAGGGGCTCTGTCTTGATGGATAAATAAACTTTGTTGAGAGTTAAGCCCCTGCTATGTGGGATTATCTGTTTTGACAGCCAGTATTATCTTAACAAATACCATGGGCCTTCAAAAAGTTCGTGGAAAATGCATGTGATGAAAAAAACTATGTGTAGATTCAATTTTTTTTTTTTTTTTGCACTGAAATAAACCTGTACTTCAATTCTATTTTTCCATGGGCTTTTCTGAGGTCTTCTCATATACTATCAGAGTCTGAAGGGACCTTTATCCACTCCAACCCGACTAATACACAAGCCCATTTATAACACTCCGGACAACAGGTGTTGTAGCTTGTGTTTAAAACCCTTAGTACCTGGGAACTCACTAATTCCCTACTCACCAGCTTACTACAGTTAAATCACTCTTGATTTCTCTGAATAGAAACTTGTCCCTCTCTGACTGCCTCCCTTTGGCCTTAGTCAAAGAGGGTTTTCCCTCTAATAGCGAAGCAAACCCAGGAGGAACCACTTTGTGAGACCAGTCATTCAGACAGCCTTTCCAGTATACCATCCTCACTCCAGGTGAAACAGACTGGGCCCCTCAGCTGTGTCATCAAATGACATAACCTGGATTAATGAGTTGCTCACCATTTTGGTCACAGTTCTCTAAATATACTCCCTTTTGCTTGTCTCCCTTGAAATGTGGCACCTAGAACCAAAGTTAGAAGAGCAGCAAAGTTGACATGAGGATAGAGGGTCTAATTTTCTGGAAAGTTCTGAACTTTTGGTCAATTTACCTTTGTCATTCAAAGATCTCATTTCACATAAGTTTAGACCACTGAAGGTGGCCTGGTCATCGCAGGAGGAAGGCGTGATGGAAACAACAGGGTAGACATGTCTAGGTGTCTGACTCCTGGTGTGGGTCTGGGCTTTGCTGTGAGGGAGCAGGTCTGTTGATAACTCTTTTGGGCTAGAGTCCCCACTGAAGGACTGGAGATCTGCCAGAGGAGTCACAGGTTTTGTCTTCTTCTCAGAAAGTTGACTGGTGGCCAGAAGTGGGAGCAGGGGAGACCAGGGGGTGCCAGAGAGCCCAGACATTTTGCTTCTCTCCGGCTCCATGCAAGGTGAAGCAGCCCTGTCCAGTAAGACTACAGGGCCCCATCCTGCTCTTCCTTTGTCCAGAGTCCACTGACATGGCCTTGCA